CGAAGGAAGATCACTGGTGAGCGTCTGACTGTCGTCCTGCCTCAACACGGGTGCTGTCGGTTACATACGAGAACGAGCTGGTTGCCTCCGCCGACGATCCCGCCGATCCAGTTCCAGTGGGCCCGCACTTCGTGCTCTCGAAGATTCTCTACAGAAGGCCGGGCAAGGGTGAGATGCGGAGCATTCCGGAGGAGGAAAGGCCAGAGTATGCAGTGGAGGCGTGGGGAATGGCCATGGATGAGTGGAGGGGGTGGGAAGGCCTAGCGGTATAATGGAGGGCAGAGGAAGGGCCAGGGTATGAATGGGGGTGGGGAAGGGCCAGGGTATGAATGAGGGTGAGAACGCCAGGGCGTATGAGTGGAGGGGTGGCGGGAAGGCCATGATATGAGTGGAGGGCGTGGGAAGCCAGGGTAATGAGTGGAGGGGTGGGGGCGAAGCGCCAGGGTATGAAGTGGCGGGAGGGTGGGAACGCCAGGCAGGTATGCATGAGGGGTGCGGAAGGAAGGCCATGGTATGAGTGGAGGGGTGGTAAGGCCAGGATATTGATGGAGAGGGGTGGGGAGGCAGGGTATGAGTGGAGGGCGGGGGAAGGCCAGGGTATGAATGGAGGGGTCCACGCCAGTCGACCTACTTTCGAGCCACGCTCACTTTTTGGCAAACATGTAAAATGGCAGTCTATGGATTGGGAATTCGATTTGTTAAATTTACCTACCTACCTACCTACCTAATCATACCTACTGTGTAATATTGTGTTTTGAGTCTTCGTTACAGTAATTTGACTGGAATATTTTATTGCTTTTATTTGCGCGATAATCGAAAAACCAAAATGGCCATCATTTAGACGTAGCGCCATCTCTCGCCTAGATTTCATACTTTCAGATCTGAAACATTTATTTTCACATCAAAACTAACCCTGAAACAAAACCAAAAATTTCCATTAGTATAAAACAGGGAATAAGGACAATTGATCACATTTTGGTCCGTCATAAATGAAACACTTACCAAATTTTAAATATCATCTTCCTCTTCTATCACACCCAAGGTGAGCTATAGTGTCATTAACACTTTTATTTTATGTTCTTTTCTGCTCTCCTCTGTACTCTTGCTCTTTCCCCCTAACTCCTCTCCTCTCCCAACCTATTCGTTCCTACTAACTACTTTCTTTTTCTGCATGGTATTTACTCCTCTTCACATCTCCTTCTTCTAGCCTCGCATCCCCGCTTTCACTTTCTTAGCTTTTTGCCCATTCATGGTCAGTTCGGTCTCAGTTCTGATTTCACAGAATTTTTCCATCTACGCTATCAACTTTAATTTTTCTGCAGCCTCGTTTAGTAGCTACGACGCAATTACTCGAATTCTCGTATAATCCTCCCTGCCGCTGTTGCCGCTGTTGTTGTTACTGCTGCTGCTGCTGCTGCTGCTGCTGCTGCTGCTGCTGCTGCTGCTGCTGCTGCTGTTGTTAATGCTGTTGTTACTGCTGTTGTTACTGCTGCTGCTACTGCTGCCGCTATTGTTGTTACTGCTGTTGTTACTGCTGCTACTGCTGCTACTGCTGCTACTGCTACTGCTGCTGCTGTTGTTGTTACTGCTGCTACTGCTGCTGCTACTCCTGCCGCTGTTGCTGTTACTGCTGTTGTTTCTGCTGCTGCTGCTACTACTGATACCACTACTGTTGTTGTTGTTGCTGCTGCTTCTGCAGCTGCAGCTGGCGACGGCATTATACATACATGCATTGCACGCACGCACGCACGCACACACGCACGTACGCACGCACTCACGCACACTCACACTCACACTTACACGCCCACACACGCCCACACACGCACACACACGCGCGCGCACACACACACACACACACCCACGCACGCACGCACACACACACATACACATACACATACACGCCCATACATGTACACGGGCGCACACACACACACACACACACACACACACACACACACACAACACACACACACACACACACAACACACAACATATAATAGACTAGCGGGATACCCGATGTTGCCCGGGAAATCAGTGGCGTTACTCAGCTGGTGACCGCTGTTGAAAGGAAAAATACCCCAAAAAATCTAACTATCTAATCTATCCATGCTTCCATCCATGCATGCATCTATCCATCCATCTCATTCCATGCCATCCCATCCCATCCCATCGCACCGCATCCCATCCCATATTCCATTCCATATTCCATCCCATCCCATCCCATCACATTCAGTGCCATCCCATGCATGCCATGCCATCCATGCCATCCTCATCCATCATCCCATCCCATCTTACCGCCATGCCATCCCATATCCCATCCATGCCATCCCATGACCATCCCAGTACCATGCCATCCCATGCCATCGCATGACATGCCATGCCATGCCTTCCATCCCCCTCCCAAACAGTAAAAATAATAAGAAATCAAAAGATAAAAGACATTAAAAATAAACAAAATTAATAAACTAAAAAAATAATTAATTAAATAAATAATAAATTAAAAATAAATTACAAATAATACATATAAAGAGGTAGGTAAAGGGAAAAAAGGAAATCTAACTATCTATCTATTCATGCATGCATGCATCCATCCATCCTATTCCATGCTATCCCATCCCATTCTATCGCACCGCATGCCATCTCATCACATCACATTCAGTCGCCATCCCATGCCATGCCATGCCATGCCATCCTATCCTATCCCATCGCACCGCCATCCCATCCCATCCCATCCATTCCATGCCATCGCATTGCATCCCATGCCATCCCAAACAGTAAAAAATAATAAGAAAATCAAAGATAAAAGACATTAAAAAAAAATAACTGCACCAATTACGTTTATACACCATAGATTCAGACTTTGATGTTGTGTACGTACCGTGACCGCCATCTATTGATCAAATAGCAATTTTTTATGAATGTTTAACTTTTTTAACTTTTTTTTCAGCCAGAACCACCCCCAGACGCGTGCTGGATTCTGAAAATATCTTTAGTTTTTCTCTAGACTGCGGAGTTCTCTAGTTATCGCGCGAACACACCAAATTCGGCTGAACAACTTTATATATACTAGCAAACTATAATACCTGTACAACGACCAAATCGTGCCTTAAAATATAAACTTCATGTAGAGTGATACAGTTTGAAGTTAAATATTTGTCATGCAATAAAGAAAACAGAAACAAAAAAACATTTTGAGAGAAGACAAAGGAGCGCATTCTATAAGTGAGCAGGGGAAAAAGTGCTCAAAATGTCATCCCATCCCATCTCATCCTATCCCATGCCACCCCATGCCACCCATGCCATCCCATCCTATGCCATCTCATGGGATCCGATCGATGCCATCAAGTCGACCCCATCCCATCCCATCCATCCAATCCCAAACAATACAAAATAATATAATAATATAAAGAACATGAAATAATAATAAATAATAATAGTAGTAAATAATAATATAGTAAAAAAAAAAGTTTATTTTTTTCAATTTTTAACTTTTTTTAAATATTTTAATGAATGTAGTAAAATTTATTTTTTACATTTGAAATTAACGCTGAAGTAGCAGAAGTAGATACTAAAGAGTAAAAAGTAAAGGAGGAAATTTTTTTTCCCCAGCTGAAATTCGAACCAGAATCTCGGGATTATGAAACGAACTCTTACCGACTTACGCTGCGGCGGCGGGTTAAGACGCGGGGAAATAATTCCCACGTGATGATTGAATTTTTACTTTACATTTTTTTTTTTATTACTTTTTAACTTTTTTAAATTTTTGTCTCAGCCAGAACCATCTCCGCAGCGTGGCGATTAAGATATATCTTCAGTTACCGCGATTGAGTGAAAAATCCACGGAGAACATCGAGATCAAACAACACACACACACACACACACAAGATTAGCCAAATTAAGTATAGAAAAGAGTAAAAAGTAAAGGAGAAATTTTTTCCCCAGCTGAGATTCGAACCAGAATCTCGGTTTTAATGGAACGAACTCCTACGACTACGCTACGGCAGTGGAAAAGACACGGGAAATAATTCCCACGTACGTGATGATTGAATTTTTACTTGAGTGAAAATCACGGAGAACATCGAGATCAACAAAACACACACAGTCACACACACCACACACCAAGATTAGCCAGATTATAGTATATATATATATATATATATATGAGGTGCGCAAGGTGCGAGGTGACGCCGCCTACACGCCGTGCTTGTTATTACACACGGCAGCAACCTTTCGTGTTCTAGCGTGGTGTCGGAGCTCTCTTTCTCTTCCCCATCCACCTTCGTTCTCTCTCCCTCCCATCTCTTTCTATCTCCCTCTCCCCTTTCTTTCCCCCCCTCTCTCTCTGCTCTCTCTCTCACCACATATCTCTCTCTCTCTATCTATCTCTCTCTCTCTCTCTCTCTCTCTCTCTCTCTCTCTCTCTCTGTTCTGCTGGTATAGCTATAGAGGAGGGCTACGACGATATTATAGCACACGACAGCATAATAAATAGCTGTATCAGTCAGTTTTGTCTGGACGCGTTCTCTAGTGCTACGGCATATTACTAGTGTACGGTGCACTCTAAAACGGTAATCTTGCGCTACTGCACGTAATACACTGAAAGGGTTTATGTGAGGGGACATTAGCAGACGATAGGGCCTCGGTGGTGGTGGGGCGATCGTCCTGTGTATCCCTTCTTCATTCTTGCAACCTTACCGTTTACATCGTAACCGTTTACTATACGATTCAATAATCAGGAGGCGATTAATTTACAGCGCTGCTCCGAGCTTAGCGCCATTTATCGGACCCGCGCCGCACGATAGTCGATATTTTCATCAAGTGGTTCATCTTAGGGCGCTCCTATAATTTGTTAGGAAAAGTAGCAGTACACACACATGCACACAGACACACACACATATGTATGTATATATATATTACTTATAATATATAGCCCGGTGGGCTATATATCTATATGATCAGGTGAGAGGGTATAACGTAATAATACTAGGTATGATAAGTAGACTCTACTATAGAAAGTACGCATTGCATTTGACTTGGCGTTCAGGGGTTAAATAATGGACCCTTGGTCAAGAGAAAACCCTTTGTTGGTTCATTTATATTAACCCCTGTGGCTTTATCCTGGCATGCCTTAGGCGGGGGCCGGTTATTGATAAGGGGGGGGCGGCGGGATTCCAACATCCCCTTTTGAAATCGTCACAGAAAGAACCGGCGCATCCAAACGACGTGCGCGTTGTTAAACGGGAAAAACTCGTAAAAAAACAAGGGGGCATCTATACCCGGAGAAAGGCCCCCCTTTTAACCCCTCCTTCTTTTTCTTCCTTCTTTTTCCTTTCCTTCCTTCTCCCTCTTCTTTTTCTCTCCCTCTTTCTCTCTTCTCTCTGAGTGAAACGCGCCGCTCCCCTTTCAGTCTCCGGAGTTTGATCCTCTTCGACTTCCTATACATTGGGTCCTCGTCCAGGGCTCTTTTTTTCTCTTATTCTCCTTGTTGTGGTTACACCTCCGGTTGCTGTCCTTCTCTCCATTTCCTTTTGCGTTCAGCTTACTGTCTTTTTTCGCATGTTTTCCCTCTGCTTCTTTTCTTCGTTCTCCTTGTTCTTGTGGGTTCTTCCTATGTGTCTATTGTCCTCTTTGCCGTGCTTCGCGGTCTTTTGCTCTCGCCTTTACTCTGATCGTCCCGTTCCGCTTCGTCTTTTTGTGCTTTGCTTTTTATTCTTCGTTTCTCTCTGGTTTTCGTGTGTTCTCTTTTTATTGTGTACTGTTCTCCTCTTGATAGTCCTGTCTTGTCGTTTTTGCTGCATGTTTGTTTCTTTTCACTGGTTCGCTTTCTCTCTTGTCTAATTGTTGTTTTGTCTCTTTTCTCTCTCTCTCATACACACTCTCTCCCCCTCTCTCGCTCTCGCTCTTCTCTCACTATCTCTCTCTCTCTTTCTCTCTCTCTCATACACACTCTCTCCCCCTCTCTCGCTCTCGCTCTTCTCTCACTATCTCTCTCTCTCTTTCTCTCTCTCTCATACACACTCTCTCCCCCTCTCTCGCTCTCGCTCTTCTCTCACTATCTCTCTCTCTCTCTACCGTCTACGTAGCTCTCTCTAGTCTTCGCGCACATTCGTCATTAGATGCTGCTGCTGCACCTGTCTGCTGCTGTTCTCCCTTCAGCTGTCCTGTGATCGGTGGCTACCTACCATGCTAGGCCATGCGGTCGTCTGGCGTAGCGCTAATAAGCCATATCGGAAAGTCCCCGCCGCCACATTGAGATCAGATAAGAGGGGGTATAAGTTGCCTATATATAACATGGTTCGGATAGGACTAGTCTAGGTTTTTGATCTATAATTCTCTTCACTAACATCGTACTTCAATTTACATGTGCGTTTCTGTTTGCAGAAACATTTACAAATATGATTGTGGTTATTTGGAATATTTTGCAATGTTTGTGTTAGTGCAAAAACTAAAAACGCACGAGTGTTTACATTAATCATGTACTTTCCTAAGCGCGCCTCGGCCATTTTATACCCCCTTTTTCTATGACCTAAATAGCACAGCTGGACTTTCCGATATTATATCACTTATAGGCCTACTGTGCACAGATACGCAAGAGATAGGAGATAAAGGTGTAGCAAAGCCTTTAGATATATGCTCTGAGCGCGAACGCGGTGGCAGGAGGGCGCACTTGATTCGGTTGCCAGTGAGTTTATCAGATGAATACCTGGATACAGTACACGTCAGTTGAGCGCTGTCGCTCTGCGGCACTTGTTAGTGCATTAGTATGTTGTTGTTGTCGTCGTCGTCGCCGTCGTTATTGTTGTTGTTGTTGTTGTTGTCGTCGTCGTCATTATTATTGTTGTTGTCGTCGTCATCGTTATTGTTGTTGTCGTCGTCGTCATCGTTATTGTTATTGTTGTTGTCGTCATTATTATTGTTGTTGTCATCGTTATTGTTGTTGTTGTTGTTGTCGTCGTCGTCGTCGTTATTGTTGTTGTCGTCGTCGTCGTTATTGTTGTTGTTGTTGTTGTTTATCTGTTGTCTCCGCTTTGCAGGCTTTCATCATTGGCCACATTCCTCCCGGATACGCAGACTGGCAGCTCGATGCTGGAGCACTCTATCCGAGATTCAACGAACGATTCTTGAACATGATTGGCCGATATCGTCACGTGATCGCGGGGCAGTTCTACGGGCATTGGCACACGGACAGCTTCCGTCTTTTCCGTGACGAATTCGGTGAGCAATTATGGCAAGCCATTACCCTCAAAAATCATTTCTAAAGAATTTAAAGCTAGAATCCCAAATCAATTTACAATGCATTAAATCATTTTACAAAGTATAAAATTAATTTACAAAAGTAACAATTTATTTATAGAAACACAAGTTATAGTTACAATTTATTA